TAACAAACACCGGCAATTCTTCTGTCGAAACCATGCATGCGCATTTACGTACATACGTCATCAAGTGTGCATATACAGTACATGTATTGGACTCCTCTTTAGTTCAACTATCACCCGACCTACATTCCATAATTGGAATAACACTGGGGTCGTCCATTGGCCCTGAGACCCGCGTTATCGGGGGGGGGGGGGGGGGGGGGGGGGGTGTTGGACTGTATAACTGCTAATCACAGTGGATAATTAAATATACAGAGTTTCCTGTGTATGGCAGATGTGTATGCCGATTGAGGAATTTGCATTATTTCTAGAAGTACTGTATGCATATGAAATATATATTAGAAAATCACCGTGGGCATGTGGACTGTAAATATCAAATGCCCCACAGCATATTAACAACATCAAATAACAATCTTATGTTATCCCATACGCATGTAAGCATTATGAAATCGACGCTAAAACAAGGAAATAATTCTGTTTCACCCAAGGTGATGTGTTTAAGAACATTGGTTTTGTATGAAATAAGACACCCCGCAACATGTAATAATAGGTTAATCATATTTTATTCATCTGAGATTAATAAACAGGCCAAACTGGCTTATGTAAATAACGCTCCCTCCAACACAACATATATTAAATACCGCATTCAGCAATATTCCAGCTATATGACGGCGGTCTGTAATTAATCTAGTCTGGACCAGACAGTCCTGTGATTGACATATTGAGCATCGATCCACGCAATTGGGATTGATGACATGCATCAACCAAGTCAGGGTCGCTGACTTTGTTGATGCATGTCATCGTTTGTTTGTTTGTTGTTTATCGCCGCACCCAGCAATATTCTAGCTATATGACGGCGGTCTGTAAAATAATCGAGTCTGGACCAGACAACCCAGTGATTAATATCATGAGCATCGATCCACGCAATTGGGATCGATGACATGCATCAACCAAGTCAGCGAGCCTGGACACCCGATCCCGTTGGTCGCCTTTTACAAGCATGGTCACCTTTTACGGCAAGCATGGGCTGCTGGCATGTCATCGTATCTCAATTGCTTGAATCTACATGCACATCAATTTCAACACATTTCTCCTGTTTTTTTTATATCTTTTTTCGCCACGGAAGTAATCAAGGTAATCGCCGTTTCACTTCGACTTACCCGATTTCATAATGTTTTATGCAGTAACTAAACTGAGCAAAAACTCCGTGAAATTATTTTTACCACAAGTTCGTTAAATTGTCGCTGTCTCGGCGCCTTATAAAAGAGGCCCGCAAGCGCTTAGCACCACTGGTAATGCAAATATGATTCGCCAGGCATATGTCTTTTACCCTTTTCAACTGGTGTTCCCTTAAAGAACCACCAGTTGAAAGGGTAATAGACATATGCGCAACACGTTGGTATTTAATACTTGCTAATCGTATATTTAAGCTTCATTTATCCAATGAGGACAGTCGGGATTTTATTATCGATTTCAATTGTGTGGCGGCAGATTCATATATAATATAACCCCAGATCCATATTGGTAATGCTTTACGCATGGTAATCAACCGCGTTATCGTGGTTCTAAATATTTGAATCTGCTGTCACAATTATTTTGATTGCTATTAAAATTCCACATGCCGCCAAATCCCAACACATTTTTCCTGCTTTTGATCTTTTTTCACCACCGCGTTACGCATGGAGATTGGCGAAAATAGTCGAAAACAACCGTGTTCATTTGTGTACATGGTGTAAGCATTTGCATAATGCACTGGCGATACGGAACATTGAGGTGAACATCGCCATCACACACACATATATGCTGTCACAATTAAAATCGCTAATACAATACCACATGTCCCCCCATTTCCAACATATTTCTCCTGCTTTTTATCTTTTCTGAAAAAGCCATTTATTCTTGTAATCGCCGTTTTTGACGACTGTTGTTGTCTATTCATATGTATAATAAAACCACACATACATATTTGTCAGGTGATACCCTTGGAAACCATCATGATTATCATGGTTTAAAATATTGAAATCTGCTGTCACAATTCCAACACATTTCTCCTGCGTTTTAAATATTTTTCGCCACCGCGTTACGCATGGAAGGTGGCGAAAATAGTTAAAACAACTGCGTTATAGCGTTCCGTAAGCATTTGCGATTCTAATGTTATCAAATTCGTAGATTCAAGGAAATGCCATAAATCCCTGTATAACCATGATAACAACTTCTGATAAGTTTATTATTACATAAACAGAACCACCTGCCCGACATGCTCATTACAGAACATTTCAATACATACACAGCACACAGATCACTTTTACGTTGTCCCATGACATCATTGTAGACATGATAGAGCTACTGGTTACCGACCAGTTATCGCCAGTTTTTTTTTCATTTCTGTCACTCCGTGATTTCAGTTCGTGAAAAATGATTTAGTTGATCTCTGTTATAACGTGTATAACTTTCCCGTCGTCTTGACAGCACGTGCCACGTGATCACGCATATACGCTTCAGTTATACAAATGACATTACAAATTTGTCGTCTGCAAACCAATATTCCCCACATTCGATCTCTACATGCTATCATATGTACTATGGATTTCGATATATACACATGCTACGTACAGCTCAAATAGGTTTCAGAATTGTATTTTGAGAAAGAAATGACTGACCGATAGAAAGCAATGCCAGAACGGAAGTGCGTCATTGTGTTTCCTTTTTTATTTTCGAGTGAATAAGTCGCGATGGCCCACATGTCTTTGATAAAGCTGTATTCGGGCTTGGCGATTATTGTGGGGTTTTTTTAAAAAATATTTCCTCACAAGTGTTTTGTCATCTTTCTCTCTTCCAATGAAAACGAGCAAAATTAAAATGATATCCCGTGCGACAACGGGGAGTTGGCGATAATTTATAGCCAGTAGCAATACAGTCTAAATAGTTTTGGTAAATAATTTGTTTACGAAATGTTGTGTCACATGATATGCAAATTAGGTGTAATGCCACGTCACCACTGCGCCGGAAATTAGCTTTTTGTCCGTCATCCTTTTGCCGGATCATGGTTGGTCAGATTACAACAATGGGTACCGTTTTTCAGATGGAAATCGCGCGGGTGTTAAAAATATTGAACTTCGTGGACATATCGTGCTTGGTAACCACATGTGACAAAGATTTCTCATGTATATATTCTGGCATTAAACAACGTGTCCGTGCCGATAACTCAAGGTGACAAATGCCGACTGACATGACTAACATCCCACGAACGTCTTTCGCATGCTCGAATTATTCCGTACCGTATCGCCACATAATGAAGTAGCGGAAGGGAACATTGAGGTGAGTATCGCCATCACACACACATATATATGCTTTCACCAGTTCACAATTAAAATCGCTAATAAAATACCACATGTTCCCCCAATTTCCAACATATTTCTCCAGCTTTCGATCTTTTCTGAAAATGTATTTTCTTGGGGAATGTAATTTTCGATTCAATTGTGTGGCGGCAGATTTATATATAATAAAATCCCACATACATGTTTGCCAGGCGATATCCACGGAAACCAACCGCGTTATCTTGTTTTAATATATTGAAATTTGCTGTCTCAATTCCAACACATTTCTCCTTTTTTTTCGCCACTGCGTTACAGTGTTCCGTAAGCATTTGCGATTCTCATGTTATCAAAATTGTCATACATAATTCATGGATTCAAGAAAATGCCATAATTCCCTGTATAAACAACTAAAAATTCTCGTACAAAATTCGTGGGTTCGAGGAAATGCTGGCTTTGATTTTTTAATGAGGTGCCATAAATCACTGTAAAAACAACTTGGTGACACTGACAAGTTTATTACATAAACAGAACACCTGCCCGACATTCTCATTACATAACATTTCCTGTGTTATACAGCAAAGATCACGATTGTATTTGTAGGAATTACCATAATTAATTCACATGGTGTAACTTGCGTTGACAATACGATGAGACCTGACATTAGGCACATGTAGTCAGCTGATCCGGTCGAAGAACTCTCAAGTGGTCTGCACATCCGGTTAAGGAGCTCTCAAAATGTGACGAAAAGTCTTTTCTTGGATACCTAAGACAGTCAAAGCTCTTGAGAATTTCCTTATTCTCTCTCCAATGTCTTTTTGGTTGAAGGCAACATTGTATTACGCTTAATAATGACGATGTACTTATAGGTGTATATTTTATTGGCGCTTCTTCTTCTTGGCAGCTGATGGTAAATAAGCCGCACTCGGTTATCTCCCTTGAACGCACGCGAACGGCTTGCCCACCAATTCCAACACATTTCTCCTGCTTTTGATATTTTTTCGCCACCGCGTTACGCATGGAAGTTGGGGAAAAACATCGCGTTACGGTGCGTTATAGTATTCCTTGTGCATTTGTGATTCTAATGATATAAGTTTTATTACAAAATTCATCACATGAAGTTTGCAGTTGCCAATTGAAATTACCCTACTGTTTTGCATCATTTTTTTTAACATTTTCCCTTTCTAAGTCAAGATTACTGTTAATTTTTTTTTCAAAAGTACACTAATACAAACATTATGAATGTATGTTACTATTTGTGTCTTTCTTCATGCAAATTAATACTCTTTTGATACGAAAAAGGGGGAAAAAATGTAAAAACAGGCCAAACTGAATTTCTACACAGAGTTATGGGAATTGAATTGCCGCGCGGGGAAGAGGCCACCCTAACTGCCAAGTGATGCAGCTGACAAACCTAGAAACATAATCGGGGCAAACCGGGATTCAAACCAACAATCATAAGATTCTGGCGTGCCACCCGTGCCCCAGCAAGTGACATGAGAGGTGGAATCTGATTGGTCAGTAGGAGGGATATAGAAGGGACATAACTCACAATAGCCACTGGTGACGCTACGATCAAGCCCAATAATTCCAATCTAGTTCAGCAAGGGTGGAAACTGGACTTTTACAGTGAACGTACACGTTATTGTCGGGCAGTGTTATTGCCCCTGTTTTGTTTTAGAAGGATACGGTCGTTTCTGACAGATCTCAGGGCTGAGGTAGAAAGGGGTGCCGATCGTGGTCACGGCGTGGTCCATCGTGTTCTGAAGGATGCGGGAGATGCCGAAGTCGCCAAGCTTCACGATGTTCTGGCTGGTCAGGAACACGTTCTGGGGTTTCAGGTCTGTCAAGGAACATTTGAGAAGCTATGACACCCCATACTTAACCTTTGAAAGGGGTCTTCCCACAGTTACAAGACACACAAAGAAACGATTTCTTCATAACTTTGTGGCCTAGTATGCTTGCTTGTTGTTTAATGCCGCACTCAGCAATATTCCAGCTAATACCGGAGTGTGAACCAGACAATCCAGTGGTTGATATTGTGATCAATTCTTTACACTGTTGAGTTACACTGGGATGGGAATGGGTTATTTTCCTTTTCAGCTTGAATGTCTTTTCAATGGAGCGTGGTCCATAATTTGGGGTGTTTATAGGGTGTTCATCAGAATTTAACAAATTTGTGTTCACTAAAATTTGCAGATCTGCGGAAGATTCTCATCCCTGGTTACAATGACACGCAATAAACTAAGTCACCGAGCCAATCCATAAAATCGTCTTGCGACAAGCATAGGTTACTGATGACAACGTCTAACCCAGAATCCCCTCATTGCCTTGTATGACACACTGCAACATTAGTAAGCAGGGCTTTACCTTCACTTCTGTTCAGTAAGTATTATTTTACACCACTTTTAGCAATATTACAGCAATATCATGACGGGGGACACCAGAAGTGGGCTCCACACATTGTACACATCTGAAGAATCGAACCCGGGTCTTCTGCGCGAAGAGTGAAAGCTTTAACCTCTAGGCAACCTCACTGCCCCGTCTTGTATATTGAGTATTCAGGTCGTGCGGTCAGAATTTAAAATTACATAAATCCAATTTCATATAATTTTTTTTGTTTCCTAATAATGTTTTGTAGGTGGGAAAAAAATAATAGCAGAAAACAATTGAGGAGCGCAACTATAGAAACTAACAGTATTAGTCAACTAGTCCTAATAATGATAACATAGCAAGACCTTAAAAATGGCAAATTTCTACTGGTCCTTATGATACCTTAACCAGTGGGCAGTTTGGCAAGGACTACAGGACTAGTGCCAATTTCTAACGCTGGAGGGGGTTACCAGGGTAATAGGGAAAGGAACAAATTTGGATCTACTGTTGAATTCAATAATAGATTCTTGAATCTACCCTTTCCAAAATCTACTGTTTCCGCTTCTTCAAAACTTACGCAAGCACAGACAGCAGACCAGATGCCCTTCAATTTATTTATATTTAATTGTTTCTATTTTACTTATTTCTGGTTGGTGGAATAAAAATTACACTGCTTTAAATTCTATCTTAATTTTGAACATTTCAATTTTCAGGTGATGCAGGTTCGCAAACCAAGTATTAAAAAAAGTCTGGCCTCAATAACCAATGTGAAGACACAGTTTAAGGCAGGTCTTCCATGACGGGTTTGTGCTCACCTCGATGGAGGATGTTCTTCCCATGAATGTACTTCAGAGCAAACGCGATCTGAACAAACCAATCAAACACAATCTGAAACAGAACATAATTTGTATCTAATTAGCATAATTATGACTAGTAAATCAATCAATCATACGTCTTAGATAGGCCTTTCAAATGGCTTGTTGTTAAACGCCACACTAAATATTCCAGCCATATGAGCGAAATCTGTAAATCTGGACCAGACAATACAGTGATTGACACTGTTAACAATGATCCACACCATCAGGGAACGCTGACATGCATTCAGCCAAGTCACTGAGCCTCAACACAGATCTTTACAAGGACCTTCTAAATGAGTGAGTTTAACATTATTCCAGTTATATCATGGCGTGTCAGCTTGATGTGGGAGAAAAGCCCGAAGTGATGCAGGTCTCAGACGTTTACCACTTCGGTGAAACCCACGAGCACGGGAATGGTGCTGATAAACCTAGAAACATATTTGCGGCGAACCGGGATTCAAACCCACGATGATAGGTTTCTGGCATGTCCAAGGGACGCAACTCTGCACAGCGAATTGCGGTGCCTTAGATGACTGGGCCAGCTGTGACTCCTATCAAATGAAGACACCTTGTTCTAAGTATCAATTTTTAAGGACCTAGATGAAATTGACGTTAATTTGGCATTTGGTTACTTGGGAAATCTTCAGAAGGGATCATCAAAACTTATTGTTATCCAGGCACTTACTTCTTTGGAGAAATGAATTCCTTTTTGATCTTGTATTTTCTTTTGTAGGTCTCCTGAAACAAATAAAACTCGACGATGCAAGTTTTCGTAAGATGAAAATGAAAAAAGGACAGGATTAAGTCGACTTCAACTTGAAGAGTAAAGTTTGGATAACAACTTCTGTATTGTTTGTGATGACATTTCAGAGTAACTTCTTACCCTTCATCAGATCTACAAGGGGCAAGAAGCAGCCCTGAAACATCATTACAGTGAGTGAGTGAGTGAGTGAGTTGGGTTTAAAGCCGCTTTTAACAGTATTCCAGTTACAGCACAGCGTGTCAGCTTAATGCGGGAGGAAAGCCCGAAGTGATGCAGGTCTCGGACATTAAAAGCTTCGGTGAAACCCACGAGCACGGGTATGGTGCTGACAAACCTAGAAACATAATCGGGGCAAACTGGGATTCCAACCCACAATCATAGGTTTCTGGCGTGCCCAAGGGATGCAACTCTGCACAGCGAATCGCGACGCCTTAGACGACTGGGCCACCCGTGCCCCCCAACTTCTAAATGTCTATCAAAGACTTTTGTCAGAACAAATAGCTCCATGGATCAAAATGCTGTAGCAAAGAAACCGGAGGACCTATTGGAACATTGTTAAATAGATACACTACATCAAGGCTGATGAATAGGGCAGGGTCTGTGATGATCCCTATATTCTGTTGACAGTCTGATACGAATAATATGACCGTATTACCGAGTGGAACAAGTAGTTTGACCATATTTTGTTTGTTTGTTGTTTAACGCCGCACTCAACAATATTCCAGCTATATGAAGGCAGTCTGTAAATAATTGAGTTTGGACCAGACAATCCAGTGATTGACTTAAGCATCGATCCACTAATTCGGATACGATGACATGCATCACCCAAGTCAGGTCCGTACCCCCTGGAACCCCCCCTCTGAATCCACCTATGTTGTGTCTTTAGTTTAATATAGGGACCCCCGACTTCTTCATTTACAGTTGGGTTATGACAGATCCACTGGCTTTCATCACCTCTGTGTGGTCTAGCAATTCTCAACACAGGGTTAGGGTACAATTTACACTACCGTATTTTAGTATAGTGCGCACTCATGTATAATGCGCACTCCCCTCTAGTGGATTCAGTATTTTGGACTCAATAGCGGTAATCTGACCGTGGTTGCTGTTAATAACGGTGAGTTGAGCAATCTTCCGATCGCTTCACACACGATTTTGCCGAAATTAATTCAAACAATATTAAAAGGAATTTTGAATAAAATTAATGAAATAAGTTACATACATAAGACCAGATATACAAAGAACACTTTTTATAGCCAGACAGTGTAATTACATGATTAATTTGCATACTTCAGTATGGATTTGTTGACATGGTATTACCGGTGTTACGTGCTCACGGTAATATCTTTCCATGGGGGAAAAAAACATCAAAACTCATTATTTCATGTATAATGCGCACCCCCTTCTACACAGCTGTGTTTTTTGGAAAAAAAGTGCGCACTATACTCAAGAAAATACGGTAAACATGCCAAATGACATAGGACCCCTAGGTCAAGTGCACTACGCCAATATAAACTTTTTTTGTTTTTGGATTATAGAACAATCAGTCAATGATGCATACTGGAGGCATCCGAGCCTGAATTCTGGCAAGCTAATTGGTGTGATAAAAGAATCTGTTCACCACCCAAAAGTATCAAAATATAGACAAGGGAGATGGTTCAATGGAATTACAACTTCTTTATTACAATTTTAACAGTGATACTATCTACACAAATGTTGCATTTATTGTTTGTTTGTTGTTTAATGCCAGACTAAGGAATATTACAGCTATATGACCGCGGTCTGTGATTAATCAATTCTGAACCAGACAATCCAGTGATTGACATCATGAGTATTGATCTTCGCATTTGGGATACAAGGACATGCATCAACCAAGTCAGTGAGCCTGTCCACCTGATCCCATTAGTCGCCTCTTCGACAAGCATGGTCGCCTTTCACGGCAAGAATGGGTTGTTGAAGACCTATTCTACCCCGGAATTTTACACGTGTGCATTTATATAGATCAGAAATTCATCTAATAAAGTATATCCATTGTACTGTCTCTCTTGTTCATCATATCACCTTCAAAATGCCACTTCAAAAATAATATTATATTTCAAGAAAAACTATTTTATATCTCCACTGATCTCAATTTTTTATCTTTTATAGGGTTCGTTGTGGAGGGCAGGTTACGCCCATTTCTGTCCTTAGACCATGAATATTGGAATGGAAAGATTGGCGAACACAATCTATAAGAGCGTCCGATACGGAGTTTGCGTGCATTGCATGAAGGTACTGAAGCCACGCAGATAAGATCTGCCTCAACCACAGCCGATGTGTTGACTGACCGTCAAGACATAACACAGCAACACGTGATGCAGGCCAATGCCTTGACTGTCGCCATGTGTCAGGATGCCGTCGCGGCTCTCGGCTAACCCAGCCACACCAGGCGCTAAATGAAATGTGCGAAAGAGCTTCCCGTAAAGTGCACCACCCTTCAAGCGTGAACTAACCTCCATCGGCATACTCCATCACTATCTTGAGGCATTTTTCTTCCACAAATGTTTCTCGATACTTCACAACATTCACATGTCGGCACTTAGCAAGAACAGTCACTTCAACCAACGCTTGGTCAACTTCTTTTTCTGATAGTGACGTCAATTTGATTTCTTTCAGGACACTTTTCAATTGATCTTTATTTGTGACAAGCCATGCTTGGCCAAAACTGCCAGATCCGAGCAGACACAGCTTTTCGTACTTTCCCGCCATCTTGTCAGAGGTCCTGTGGTTGACTGGGATCCTTGCTACCTGAGACAGCCGGTGACCGATTTGTCGTAGGCTGCGATTGGACGACACTAAACATGGCATCCATTGGTCCTCTGTGCCGAATGAAAATCTTAACAAATTTACGGAAAGTTTGTTGGCAACAAAACAGTTATATCATATATCAGGAAATGTATACCTTCTAACACTTGAGCAGGGCAGTTGTTTGGTCTGCAATGTCACCAACGGATAGTTTTTCATCTGCTTATAATGTCAGAGGCATGTGTTTTGACAAAACTCGAATGACAGGTTGCTTGATAAACAACTCTTTGAGCGAAACCTTAGAATTATACAATATTATATTTTTAAAACTTCCTGTGAAGCGACGTTTATACCTTGTTTTGGTGGTTAACAATTCCCCACACACCTCCCACAATGAAATCGGTATTCAATAATTCACATACAAAAAAGTGTTTATGCAAGTGAATTTACTTCTAAAATCTTCTTAGAATTAAAATTGAAGTATAAAATGAGATCAAAGGAAATGTCAGTAAGAGAGTATTGATTGTACATGTTCGTAGTACACACGTAGTGACAGCCGGTATTGCTGTCCGTGTTTGAGAATTGTCTCCCCTGATCTGCTGTATACACAGAAAATTGACACTATGAAAAACATTACTGTATTATGATCATTCAGATAAACTGCCGAGCACGTGTCTCTTTTGTCTTCAGATTATTTCCGCTATAGGATTAAGTTTAACTTGTTCATCCAGAAATCGTTGTGTTATATGATCTTACTTAGGATTAGTAAAATACAACCCACACATGGATTTCCAACAACACGTATAGGCCGGCATGCTATAAGAGTGTTTATTTGTTTGTTTGTTTGTTTGTTGTTTACCGCCGCACTCAGCAATATTCAGCTATATGACGGCGGTCTGTAAATAATCGAGTCTGGACCAGACAATCCAGTGATTGACATCATGAGCATCGATCCACGCAATTGGGATATACGATGACATGCATCAAGCAAGTCAGCGAGCCTGACCACCCGATCCCGTTAGTCGCCTTTTACAACAAGCATAGTCACCTTTTCCGGCAAGCATGGGTTGCTGAGGACCTATTCTACCCCGGATCTTCACGGGTCTATTTAAGAGTGAGTGAGTGAGTATGGTTTTACGCCGCTTTTAGCAATATTCCAGCAATATCACGGCAGGGGACACCAGAAATAGGCTTCACACATCGTACCCATGTCGGGAATCGAACCCGGGTCTTCGGCGTGTCGAGCGAACGCTTTAGCCACTAGGCTACCCGACCGCCCCATTTAAATGTGCCTATTGACAATGAGTGAAACAGAACTATTCTATATGAATATTAGCTTCCCCTGTGATGCGGCCGCCAAACCACCTTTTTCAATCAGAGAGAGCATATCTTAAGAATTGACTTTCACTTTGTGTGAGTTCATTGGAGTATGAACCCTCATAAACTGAGGGACCCGTGAAGATCCGGGTTAGAATAGCTCTTCAGCAACCTATGTCGCAAGAGGCGACTAACGGGATCGGGTGGTCAGGCTCGCTGTCTTGGTTGATGCATGTCATCGATCCCAATTGCGTGGGTCGATGCTCATGATGTCAATAACTGGATTGTCTGGTCCAGACTCGATTATTTACAGACCGCCGTCATATAGCTGGAATATTGCTGAGTGCGGCGTTAAACAATAACCATCAACATCATAAACTGAGGGCCAATCTGTATGAACGTCGGAGCTTGCGACAGCGTTCATACAATATTTGTACTACAAAAGCTGTTCCTGTGGAGCATGTTGAGCATACATACGTTCATGTCACCTCTCGTTTTGAGGAACTAAATTATTCCGCGATAAAGCTGGTTGTTGTATGGCTGTTAGTGTAAACATGAAGTCACACGTGCTAAATATTGCGTATAGATCTAGATCCTTTGAGGTACAAAATAGTGATACAAAAGAATTTAAGAATTGACAACCTCTGAATGACCAAGCAGATTCGAGTAATTCCAAATTGATGGTAGAATGGTATGTGACGTGATTGTTCTGTGATATTATGACGTCACACACAGCAAAGCATTATCTGTCAGAGGCTCGTTGTAGCTGAAAGCGCTCGCATAAGGATTAATTTACTCCAAGTATTTTAAACCACATAATGATGACGTCATATTTATGCGCTGATGAACTCCATGAATAAGCGAAAGTAATTCGCATATGAAGAATTTGTTACTTTGTTTTTGCTATCTATCTAAGGGGCGGTCGGGTAGCCTAGTGGTTAAAGCGTTGGCTCGTCACGCCGAAGACCCGGGTTCGATTGTGAATACTGGGTTGTGTAGGCATTAGGTGAGTGAGTGAGTTGGTTTCACGCCGTTTCTTAGCGATGTTCCAGCAATATCACGGCGGGGGACAGCAGAAATGGGCTTCACACATTGCACCCATGTGGGGAATTGAACCCGGGCTTTTGGCGTAACGCGCGAACGCTTTAACCATTAGGCTACCTCACCGCCCCCGTACATGTCAACACACACCAACAATACACGTCAAGCTTAAACATCATCAGTGTGTGTCCCTGTACTTTGGGGAAAACCAAAATACTGGTACCTATCAATTAATTCCATCACCGATCTTTTCTAAAATGGGTACAATGTTAGAAGCCCATTTCTGGTGTCCCCCGCCTTGATATTGCTGGAATATTGCTAAAAGCGGCGTAAAACCATACTCACTCACTCACTATCTATCTAAACAACACATTACATTTTATTCCATGTAAAAAATGTCTTGCATCGATAAAAAAATTATATAGGTTGTTCGTTTATATTAAACTGACAAGGGATCTTTATCAAATAACTCAAATACTTAAACACATTCAGTAGTAACAAATATATATTTTTAATATCGGACGTAAATGTGTGTTATTAGAATATGGCTGTTCCTTTCATGTTATCTCAAGAGGCAACAGAGTTACCGGACTATAAAAGTCCAGATTCCACACTTATAAGACCCGTTTTATCGCAATATAGATATTGATTATCGATCAGATCATCTTGACTGGGCGCCGCTATTTTGATTGAAACAAATGCAAGTGATACGAGAGGTGGAATCTGATTGGTCCATAGGAGAGGCATAGAAGGGACATAACTCGTAATAGCCACTGGTGGCGCTACGATCGAGCCCAGGAATTCAAGCCAAGTTCGGCAAGGGTGAAAACTGGACTTTTATAGTCAGTTAACTCCCTTGCCACGGGAAGGTGGTTAATGTTACACAATGCGATCTCACTCTTTTCTATGTAGCATTATCATGGCGCCAAGCGTTCGCTCGTCACGCCGAAGACCCGGGTTCGATTCCCGACATGGGCACAATGTGTGAAGCCCATTTCTGGTGTCCCCCGCCGTGAAATTGCTGGAATATTGCTAAAAGCGGCGTAAAACCATACTCACTCACTTATTCACTCACTATACGTGCCTGACGGTGACGTTGAAGCACAATTGGGCGTATCGCTGGACGACGGGGCTGGATGTGGTGCTCCATTAATTGGTCTCAACCCTGGAACTGTCCGTGCAGTTTGGTATCGATTCCGTAGATGCACCAACCGAATATGGTTGTCTTGTTGACGTGATGTCACACGTGGGCGAGTGGCAAGTCATGAGTGTAGCCCTGCTGTAGATGACGTCTCCAAAGAGATGATATTGTTTCGATGAACATTAAAATTTCTGGCAATTTCGTTTGGCGCTATTCCTGTTTGCAGCATACCCAAGGCGCGTAGCCGTTGATTTACGGCTTGCTGCAAATTGCGTAAATAACATTGCGTAAGCGTTATTTACAGTTAAAGGTGAGGTGAGGTGAAATGGGGTTTAACGTCGCGTCCAAGATTATTGCACTTATATAGTGACGTGCATGTACGTGTGTGTGTGGCTGCTTGTGCTAGTCCGGACTGATGCCGATTTATAGTGCCAGCTCACTGAGATACCATGCCACAGTTTAACATGAATACCCCACTCAGACACAGTATACTGACTCCGAGCCGACCAGTCCTTGTTTTAGCCCTTTAATGCCGAGTGCCAGACAGGGTAACAACAAGTACCATCTTTTAACGTCTTTTGGTATGACGCGGCCGGGGATTAAAACCCGGGCGGACGCTCTACCACTAGACCACGGAGACGGTCATTTACAGTTAAACAAAAGTGCTTTTATGATCACCTGATAGCTAAACAACCAGTGTGTGCTGTTCACATACAATTACTATTTGTGCGAGCATCATTTATGTGCAAATTGTCAATCACGACCTGGCACTTCAGAATATTGTTATTTTTAATGAAGTTTATATGAAGCACAATTACTTTTTCAGTCTTTTGACGTCATATCGGAAATTATCGTTATGTATTGCTAGCTATTTCGGGTATCGAGCTTTATACATAAGCATTCAAACCCATTTGAAATACAATTCTAACGACCAGATGTTAGATTTTATTTTGTTTGTTCAGTTTACATAAACCTGTCGTTGCACAGTACTTTTAGCCCTGTATGAAAACAAAGTGGCGATAATTTGCTGTTTTTTTTGCGCATAACAAAATCACGAAGATTTTCTCATCAGTTGTTGTAATTTATATTTGTATCTAATTTTCCATCCTCGGATATTCTACAGTCCTGCGTTTTTTTATAGTAAGTGGTGGAATTGCACAACGTTCGGAATTTATAACGTGCATAAAAAAAAATAACCCGGCAAAGTTAATATATGGACGTTACGCATGCGCCCCTAAAACCGGATATGGTACATATTCCTACCACTTTTTTGGCCAAAACAAAGATCGTGGGATGTCCCATTATACAGGTCACTTCAGAACGATCTTTCAGCCGATGCCAGTTTTTAGGTGAAGTGACGTTTGGCTTCCTCAATCAGTAATAGCTAGGTAATACTTAAATTAGGCGATGCTCGCCGGTTACACAAACTTTGTTTAGCACAGCGAGAACTAAGATCTGATTTTAATGAGATTGGTGGAACCCCCCTGCCAAAGAACTTCGCCTCATCTCGCTGACTGCACACAGTTTGTGTAACCGGCGCAACAAAGGCAGGTGACCAGTCCAGCTGAAAGCGCTAAGCTTGCAGTGCGTACTAATAGCAGTGGAACCAGTTTAATCGTATAAACACCGTATAAATTACTGTAAATAGTTTTTATGTTATCACATAACTCTTAAAAACATAACATACAAAACATATTTTTTAAATTCGCGGGTAAACATTAAATTATGAAATCATATATTTTGTCTCTAACGATATTCCTATTTCGTTGTTTGGGAATCTATGTTTTTAATATCCAAGGGCAGATAATTCTCAAACTATCGTCCCCTGGAAGACCGCACTTATTTTACACATTTTGTCACAGAGCAACTGCTTTTTAAAGTTTCACTTTGGTTTTTATTTAATGCCGTTAGAATATGCAATATATCCTAGATATTGCCATTACAGCATGTGGTAACAGTGACACTTCTTAAATATAATCAATTCAACTTTCACGAACATGATATTATCTTGCTGAGAGTGAGAACGTTGTTGAAAATGGTACCTGTATGATGTAAGTTGAATAATGTCAGGCTATACATTTTACGAATAGTGTAGCAAATGGTATTCTGCGTCTATTTCCTAAACATCGTCTGTTTGATTACAGCAACATATCTCTGTAATGACAGATAGATTCATTCGATCATGGAGCAGAATATGTTCCACATATCAACAGAAAAATAGTTGTCCATATTGACATTAACCATCTCTATATATGTATGTGACATTTGAAAATAATAATCAATTCCGAACAAATTCATGACCCACTGTATTCACTAAATTAACATAAACATGCCGTTTCAACTACGACAGTGCTGTAATGATCTGCAATGCCCTGACCTTGACGTTGAGCCTGCTATCTTCACTGTATCTGTGTGATCTCTGTATGAAGGTCAACCGGTATTGACTGAGGGAATGAGGTCAAGTGTAGCTGTCTTAGTCGGGACACAGACAAGCCATCTTTGCTTTCAAACGCTGAAGTTGGAATCTTCCCAGATCATTTATCGAAGAGTTCAGAAGATGACAACATTTCTTGAACCCTACGACCCCCCATCATGGGTAAAAGAATTGAAATTTACACCCAAGTTCCGAGTACAGGTAACAGATTAAACTAGAATCAAGCAAACTGGCAACCGAAACAAGTTTGATTCAAGTCTTTGTTTGCCAGCTCAAGTTGTTTCATGTATATTAATCTATCAGTATATCATTATTATCAGTACACTAGACAATCTATCAGTTAATGATCATACTCTCTTTACACAGAGACATTCTGTCAGTTAATGATCATACTCTCTTTACACAGAGACATTCTGTCAGTTAATGATCATATTCTCTTTACACAGAGACATTCTGTCAGTCTAAACATAGAACATATAGTCCCCCTTTAAATAGATCACAATAGAACAAAATTTATGGCTGTCTACCTTTTTTTCATAAAGTTTAATTTGTTATTGTTTTATCATGACAACGCATTTATGATTTTTATGTTTTATGTGAAAAAGAAAATATTTAAAAATGTAATATTTTATGTTTATTGTGATACATTACAGGGCGTAAAAGGCGACTGTGCTTGTAAGAGGCGACTATGCTTGTCGTAAAAGGCGACTAACTGGATCGGGTGGTAAGGCTCACTGATTTGGTTGATGCATGTCATCGATCCCAATTGCGTGGATGGATGCTCAATGATATTAATCACTGGATTGTCTGGTCCAGACTCGATTATTTACAGACCGCCGTCATATAGCTGGAATATTGCTGAGTGCGGCGTTAAACAACAAACAAACAACCAACCATTACCGGGATTTGTCAAGACCTGCTCATAGGCAAATATTCGGCCCCAGGTCTCCAGCAAATGACAGCAAATGACTGAATTTGAAAAAATACTGTCCCAGTTCCTGAGATTTTAGACAAATGCAAATATTTAAAAAATCGAAATTTGAACAAAATTACGATATTTTCCCAGTTTGCCTGCAAAGGTATTTGTTTGGAAATTCGAGAAGATGGATGTGTTTTGAAATTGAATGGTTTGTATGAATATATCAATAAAACAGAATCCAACAAACTAGAGCATGAACCATTGGAAGGGGGAACCTGAAGATTCCATCCACAGTAGTTCTGCATTTAGAACTGTAACCATGGTAACAGTTTGTGCATTTTTCAGCTGGCACAACCAAACACCCCTATTCACAAGTGGAATATTCCAGGTGTTCCAGAACGTTTCAGCATCCACATCAAGCGGGATGACATGACAGGAGGTACTCTTTCTGGGAACAAGGTTAGAAGTCGAGATCACCTGAGTATATGCATGAACTATGATGTGTGACCATGGAAGGCATTGTTACGACTGCTACTCTAACTTAAGAAAAATCACAGCCAACAATCAATGAAACGCAGGTCGGCCGGAGTCAGTATGCTGTGTCCTGAGTGGGGAATTTATGCTATCAGTGGGCTAGCACTATATAACTGGCAGCCACACACACGTGTTAAGCATGTTAAGTGAAATAATCTTGAATGTGATGTTATAACCCCATTTCACCTTGATATCCTTACTTTGTCAGTGTAGCAGGGCGTGGAGTCATCCCACAGATGATATCCTTACCTTGTCAGTGTAGCAGGGTGTGGAGTCATCCCACAGATGACATCCTTACTTTGTCAGTGTAGCAGGGCAAGGAGTCATCCCACAGATGACATCCTTACCTTGTCAGTGTAGCAGGGCGAGGAGTCATCCCACAGATGATATCCTTACCTTGTCAGTGTAGCAGGGTGTGGAGTCATCCCACAGATGATATCCTTACCTTGTCAGTGTAGCAGGATGTGGAGTCATCCCACAGATGATATCCTTACTTTGTCAGTGTAGCAGGGCGAGGAGTCCATCTGTATCAGGCCATTATAAGCCAATTATTAGATTTTCAACCCTGCCACCTCAATGCAAAACATCCCACCTTAAATCAAGTTATTAATAATGATCCCATGACAGACGAAAAAAGTATTTTAAAACATTCATGCTTCATGTGAACCACATCCATCAACACCTGACATGCTTCATGCACATCGAGACCGCCTCCGTGGTCCAGTGGTAGAGCGTCCGCCCGGAGAGCGGAAGGTCCGGGGTTTGATCCCCGACCGCATCATACCAAAAGACGTTAAAAGAAGGTACTTGTTGTTACCCTGTCTGGCACTCGGCATTAAAGGGCTAAAACAAGGACTGGTCGGCTCGGAGTCAGTATACTGTGTCTGAGTGGGGTATTCATGTTAAACTGCGGCATGGTATCTCAGTGAGCTAGCACTATATATCGGCATCAGTCCGGACTAGTACAAGCAGCCACACACACACACATACACGTGCATGCACGTCGCTATATAAGTGCAATAATCTTGGACGTGATGTTAAACCCAATTTCACCTCACCTCAACTCATGTACATCGATGCCTTAAATTATATATTTCTGTTTCCGTCCAGGTCCGGAAGCTGGAGTTCCTCCTCGCCGACGCCATCGATCAGGGCTGCAAGCATGTGTGCACTGTGGGAGGGATTCAGTCCAATCACTGTCGGGCGGTGGCCGTCGCCGCACGCCAGCTCGGTCTTGTACCACATTTAATTCTATGCAGCTCCGCCAAGGTATGAGCTGCTAGTCTTCCTGATAACAGCTCAGTCTGTTTGTAGTGAGTTGCTCGTATTATCGTAAGAGTCGACTAACAGGATCGGGTGGTCAGGCTCGCTGACTTGGTTGATGCATGTCATCAAATCCCAATTGAGTGGATCGATGCTCATGATATTAATCACTGGATTGAGTGGTCCAGATTTGATTATTTACAGTCCGCCGTCATATACCTGGAATATTGCTGAGTGTGGCGTTACACAACAAACGAAATTGTATGACTTAGTGCTGTGCTGCTTTGAGGGGCGGTTGGGTAGCCTCGTGGTTAAGGCCGAAAACCTGGACCGTGCGGTTTCTTAAAAGAAGGTTTTGCTTAATTTGACTTACTTTCGTTTTTATCCCTCTGGTTAAAAAAATGGGGGGATGTAGTGATCAGCATGTCCTTCTGTCCCTCAGTCGTCCGTTTTCAGTTTCTGGAGCAAAACTCCTAAACCGTTAAATATTACTTGTTGAAACTTGCTGTACAGATCAGTCTAGTCGTGAACTGGTGCCTTTTGATGTGTTTGGATTACTACAATGTATTTGTTATATTTTAATTTTTTTTCATGAGGACAAGTTGAACTTATATTGAAAATAAGGGTTGTGCTCGTTTCCGGAGCAGAACTAAGAAAACTTCGACTATTTCTTGATGAAACTTGTTATACAGATCAGTCTAGTTGTGAACTGGTGCCTTTGATGATTTTGGATATTTTTATTTTTTTTGGTGGTATTTTGACTATAAGTTTGACTTTACTGAAAATGAGAGACGTGCTCGTTTCCAGGGCAGAACTCCAAAGCTGTTCATTATTTCTAGATGAAACTGGCTATACAGATCAACCTAGTGGTGAACTGGTGCTTTTTGATGGTTTGAAAAACATTTAAAAAAATTGAACAGCATTATTTTTTCACTGTTCTGAAGGTATCCAGTGGCAATGAACCAGATGTGGGGAATAAGTTGCCAAACTCCATTCCCTTGCACCAGACCGGGAGGATATGTCATCTCCTGATGACTCTTGCTAATGCCATGAAGAAATCTTAATGAGATTATGCTGCAAGACATCGGTCTAAAGTGTCCAGCTCACCAGGAATAACAATTATATAATAGCCAGTCCTGTGGCTGTGGCATGATTCTGATTGTTTGAAATTTCAGTCAGCCTCAGATATTGGTTGTGATGGGAACGTCTTGCTGAACCGGATGTGTGGGGCAGACATGTACGTCGTACCCCGGGCTTCGCCGTATCTTCCTGAACTGAGACCCAGACAGGAGAGACTAGCACAGATTATAAAGTGAGTGTACAGAAGTATGCACATGTACAGAGAGGGTGGGGCACACATGTATAGAGGGGGTGGGACACACATGTACAGAGGGGGTGGGGCACACATGTACAGAGAGGGTGGGACACACATGTACAGAGAGAGTAGGACACACATGTACAGAGAGGGTGGGACACACATGTACAGAGAGGGTGGGACACACATGTACAGAGGGGGTGGGACACACATGTACAGAGGGGGTGGGACACACATGTACAGAGGGGGTGGGACACACATGTACAGAGGGGGTGGGACACACATGTACAGAGGGGGTGGGACACACATGTACAGAGGGGTGGGGCACATGTACAGAGAGGGTGGGACACACATGTACAGAGAGGGTGGGACACACATGTACAGAGGGGGTGGGACACACATGTACAGAGGGGTGGGGCACATGTACAGAGGGGTGGGGCACATGTACAGAGAGGGTGGGGCACACATGTACAGAGAGGGCGGGACACACATGTACAGAGAGGGTGGGACACACGTGTACAGAGAGGGTGGGACACACATGTACAGAGAGGGCGGGACACACATGTACAGAGGGGGTGGGACACACGTGTACAGAGAGGGTGGGACACACATGTACAGAGGGGGTGGGACACACATGTACAGAGGGTGGGACACACATGTACATTGTATCTAGAAAGGAGGTATTGACAGAGATTCATGATATATTTGATTTGAGTCTTAACATTGTTTTCATTCTCTGTTATGTTGAAGCAGGGCAAGGTTGATGCCAGCAGTGGTGTCAGTGAAGAATATTGCTGAGTTAAACAACAAACAAACAGAAGCTGAGGTGAATATTATGTTTCAGGCAGCAGACTGGAGAGTCGACCTACCTGATACCAGTCGGGGGGTCCAACAAAGTGGGGTTGTTCGGCTACATATCCGCCTTCCAGGAACTCCAGGCACAGGTACCGTCTTCCCCGCCACGCTTCCTTCCTGAAGACTTCTTTTGGAGTTTTTAAAATTTTTGTTGTTGTTTTAATTTCCTCAAAATGAAAAGTCGGTTGGAAATTTTATTTTTTTAAATAAATTTGATGCAGGTGTTTTTAAGATAGATTTTTATCAGGTGTTAATTTGAGTATTTTACATAATTTATATACATTGATAGTAATGGTAGACAGGGGTTTAGAAAGCCTGAAGTGATGCAGGTGTTAGATGTTTACTGTTTTGGTGAAACCCTCGAGAACAGGTGTGGTGGTGACAAACCTAGGAACATAATCGGGGCGAACCAGGATTCGAACCCACAATCATAGGTGTCTGGCGTGCCCAAGGGACGTAACTCTGCACAGCGAATTGTGCCACCTTAGACGAGTGGGCCACCCTTGTCCCCTCATCAAGAGAAGGGTAGCCTAGTACTTAAAGCGTTCGCTCATCACGCTAAAGCCTGTGTTTGATTCCACTCATCTACCCCACCGCCCCTACGCTCCGTGTACAGAGGGTACCCCACCGCCCCTACGCTCCGTGTACAGAGGGTACCCCACCGCCCCTACGCTCCGTGTACAGAGGGTACCCCACCGCCCCTACGCTCCGTGTACAGAGGGTACCCCACCGCCCCTACGCTCCGTGTACAGAGGGTGGGGCACACATGTACAGAGGGTACCCCACCGCCCCTACGCTCCGTGTACAGAGGGTACCCCACCGCCCCTACGCTCCGTGTACAGAGGGTACCCCACCGCCCCTACGCTCCGTGTACAGAGGGTACCCCACCGCCCCTACGCTCCGTGTACAGAGGGTACCCCACCGCCCCTACGCTCCGTGTACAGAGGGTACCCCACCGCCCCTACGCTCCGTGTACAGAGGGTGGGGCACACATGTACAGAGGGTACCCCACCGCCACTACGCTCCGTGTACAGAGGGTGGGGCACACATGTACAGAGGGTACCCCACCGCCCCTACGCTCCGTGTACAGAGGGTGGGGCACACATGTACAGAGGGTACCCCACCGCCACTACGCTCCGTGTACAGAGGGTGGGGCACACATGTACAGAGGGTACCCCACCGCCCCTACGCTCCATGTACAGAGGGTGGGGCACACATGTACAGAGGGTACCCCACCGCCCCTACGCTCCATATACAAGCAAGGAGTTTAATACTTGAGGACTTGGTCAGCAGAGAATGAAAACGAAATATCAAGCATATTTGGAAAACTGAAGAGTACTATAACAGGTTTCAATAATGAATGGAAATCACTCTCAAGGTTGTTCATTGATTTGCATACATGTCTTGGAAAACATGCTAGTTATTGTAGGAAGCGCCAGTAAAATCCCTACATTCAGTCATTGACTGGAGTACTTTTTTTTCTTTTTCTTTTTTTTGTTGTTTAACCCCGCACTCAGCAATATTCCAGCTATATGACGGCGGTCTGCAAAATAAACGAGTCTGGACCAGATAATCCAGTGATTGACATCATGAGCATCTACTGGAGTACTTGAGATAAAACAACTTTGTACCAGCTTCTTGCGTTCATTAACCTCAATTTCTTCTGCAACCCGATGTGTACCAATGTATCCCTGGCTGGGCTACGTGGGATGCAGTTAATAATCAAGGTCCCAGCATGCACCGGGAAAGGATATTTTAGGTCTTGAAGACAAACAGCCATGTTTGTTTGTTGTATAATGCTGCACTCAGCATTAGTCCAGCTATATGACGTCGGTCTGTAAATATTCTGGACCAGACAATCCAGTGATTGACATCATGAGCATGCATCAACTGAAACCTTATGATAACACTGACTGTTTACCAGCAGTTTATGGCTACATCTGGTTGGGTTCAATACTGAATCAATACGTTTCCAATCTGTATGCCAAAGAGTGAGTGAGTGAGTGAGTGAGTGAGTGAGTGAGTGAGTATGCTTTGAACACGTGACGAGTGAACGCTTTAACAAACTAGGCTACCCCACCGCCCCATATGCAAAAGAATGTCCGTAGAGTCATTATGATATATCAATGTGTCACTTTCTTTCGTATGTTCATTGGGCGTCAGTTATATGCAACATGACCGTAGCTAACTGTACAGTACCAAAGCTGCCAGAGTTCCTTCTAGTTAAAACCAATGATAACCAGTGTTATGGCTTTGTAGACGTGGCTTGCATTTCACTGATGGCAGGTCGAGTAAAGAGGGTTAGAAAGGCTTCAGATCTTAGTTTACACCAATGTATTGAATGCAATGTTAAAATACCTCCTAATCTGAGAAAACAAGAAAATGATGAGTTTTCCCAGTTTGCCTTCAAAAGGGCACTTAGTTTGAATCCCTGCCTAGTCTGACCTTTCTGATCTAATACAATATTGTTGTGATCATAATTCAGGGGAGCTACAAAGCTTTGTGGCTCTAATGTCCATATATGACATTTACTTATCTAAATGTGACGTATGACATCTTATCACACAAGCGTTGATTGAACCAATAGGAGTGACCTGTATCTGTTGTGCCTTGGTTCTTCATAACCCAGGAGTGCGACGTTACAATTTTAGACTATATGTACATTCAAATTAAGTCATAAAACAACAAATGCATGTATGTAGGTATGTTGATTTCTTGGGCTTTGAGGAAATGGCAGAAAAGGGGGCTGCTTTTAGACAATGCAAGTACTTGAAAACACTCTTTTAGGACTTTTTGTTATATTTCCTTGACTTCTTTATCTAATCTGATAGCTGGCAGTACTGCAGGTACAAGTGAAATGTTCATAATCCAGATTTCTGGTTTTCTTGATAGTGGACCGCCTTCGTGGTCAGGGTTTTGATCCCCATCTGCAAACACCAAAAAGTGGTTAAAAGATGGTATTTGTTGTTACCCTGTCTGGCGCTCGGCATTAAGGGGCTAAAACAAGGACTGGTCGGCTCGGAGTCAGTATACTGTGTCTGAGTGGGGTATTCATGTTAAACTGCGGCATGGTATCTCAGTGAGCTAGCACTATAAATCGGCATCAGTTCGGACCAGTACAAGCAGCCACACAAACACACACACGTGCATGCACCTCGCTATATAAGTGCAATAATCTTGGACGCGATGTTTTAAAACCAATTTCACCTATCACGCTTTTCATTCATTGCGCAAATGTCCAAAACTTGCAAATGCTAAAAAGGAAGAGAGGCTTGTTGTCAGTCCAATTGGTTGACCAATGAAAACCAATTATTTCTAATGATGTCGCGAAGAGAGGGTCCAAACACTCTGTCTCCTCCTCTCCAACATTTACCGATGTTGACTGCATTTTTAACATCACATTCAGGGGGCACTGGAGAAGTTCGATGACCTTGTGTTCACATGTGGCAGTGGAGGCACAGCGGCCGGACTGAGTATCGCTAACTACCTGACAGGTAACTCACTCAGGTAAGACCGACAGTGATGACCTTGTTTACATCTACAGAAGTGTCCTTGTACACTGGAAAATAAAATACATTTCTATCCCTTCATGTAGTCCGAGTAATATTAAATACATCGGTTATCAAAACTCTGGTACACCTCAATTGGGAAGTAATCTATTTTTTGTATTTTTATTTGTAGATGTCATGGGTTCCTGGTCTGTGACGATGACGTGTATTTCTACGATCACATCCAGCAGACGCTGGAGGAAGTTGGCCTCCCCCACGTCAACGCCCGAGACATCGTCGACATTGTTCCTGGGTACAAAGGGAAGGGCTATTCCATCTCCACGGAGGAGGAGCTGGGTGGGTGTGGCATGTCGCTGTATCTTACACTGGAGCCCACTGAGGCGCACATCATTATCTCGCAAGATGCTTAGCATATCTACAAAGTCAAATACTCCTGTGAATATTCGGGTTATTGTCTTCAGCAACCCATGCTTGTTGGAGGAGGCGACTTATGGGATGGGGTGGTCAGGCTCGCTGACTTGGTTAATGCTTGTCATCGTATCCCAATTGGGTAGATGCTCATGGTGTCAATCACTGGATTATCTGGTCCTGACTCAATTATTTACAGACCGCCCTCATATAGCTGGAATACTGCTGAGTGCGGCGTAAACATCAAACAAACAAACAAACATATCGCGGCATTGACTGGACAGTATTTACAGCCTCACTTCTTTTCCCTGATGTCATGTACAGATGAAGACACAATGACATGTATTACTGGTCATCGTACAGCTGGAATATTGCTAAGTGTGGCTTTAAACAACAAACAAAGTGAAATGTAGATTTCTGTGTGTCATAGATGTCTGAGCAGTCATATTTGATAAGAAAGTCCAGCTAAATGTCTACATTGCAGATTTCATCACCAATGTCAGCATTAAGTCTGGCATCATGCTGGACCCCACGTACACGGGGAAGGCGGCCTACGGCATGGTACAGGAGCTCACTGCCAACCCACAGCGCTTCAGCGGGGACAGGCTCTTGTTTCTTCACACAGGTAAATTTGAGGGGGACAGGCTCTTGTTTCTCCATACAGGTAAATTCAAGGGGGGCCGGGTCTTGTTTCTTCACACAAGTAAATTCAAAGGGGACAGGCTCTTGTTCCTGTTTTTTTCTTGTCAGAGGGTGTTGTCAGCACCGTTACAAATGGTAGGATAAGTATTGTTATAGACCTCCATTATGCAAATGATGAAGAGGCATTACAAATTGAGTGATTAAAGTTTCATAACTTGACATAATCCATGATTCCTAGAAATTTTACAATATCTTCCGGTTTCTTTCTGAAGATGATTGGGCCTACAATGAGAGAGTCTTTTGATAACAAATTTCTACCAAGCTGCAATTTCTCTGTGCAGAGTTGCTTCCCTTAGGTGTACCAGAAACCTATAATTGTGGGTTCGTATCCCTTCACTTTGATTATGTTTCTAGGTATGTCGGCACCATATCCGTGCTTGTGGGTTTCACAAAGATGATAAACGTCAGAGATCTGCATCACTTCAGGCTTTCTTCCCACAACATGATATGTCTGTTTAAACTGTTTAAACCAGCATTAAACCCAACTCACTCACTCACTCACTGTGTGGATGTTGCAGGTGGGGTGTTCGGACTGTTCGATGGCAGGATGGATGGTGTCCTGAAGAAAACGGACTCAGAAACAGAGAGCATCAAGATGTGGCTGAATAAAACCAGTGACCCATCATGATAAAACCCACATGGGCTGCATCCGGACTACGGCTGGGGCCAGTCCAAATTTCCTACCCGGGTACCCACCCCCTATTACCCGACCCTACCCGGGTACCCACCCCCCTATTACCCGACCCTACCCGGGTACCCACCCCCCTATTACCCGACCCTACCCGGGTACCCACCCCCCTATTACCCGACCCTACCCGGGTACCCACCCCCCTATTACCCGACCCTACCCGGGTACCCACCCCCCTATTACCCGACCCTACCCGGGTACCCACCCCCCTATTACCCGACCCTACCCGGGTACCCACCCCCTATTACCCGACCCTACCCGGGTACCCACCCCCCTATTACCCGACCCTACCCGGGTACCCACCCCCCTATTACCCGACCCTACCCGGGTACCCATCCCCTATTACCCGACCCTACCCGGGTACCCACCCCCCTATTACCCGACCCTACCCGGGTACCCACCCCCCTATTACCCGACCCTATCCGGGTACCCACCCCCCTATTACCCGACCCTATCCGGGTACCCACCCCCCTATTACCCGACCCTATCCGGGTACCCACCCCCCTATTACCTGACCCTACCCGGGTACCCACCCCCCTATTACCCGACCCTACCCGGGTACCCGCTGTAGGTCTCAAGAGATAGGTCCAAATGTCCGACTGGGAATAGTTTGACCGTAGCCCTGGCAAAATGTATTTAGATACACGTCATGCATGAACTGAAGTTGACTGAAGTTTTATCTTTATTCATACATATAAAGTCAGAAGGAATGCGTGCATAGTCAGAAAGAAATGCAAACATTAGTCACTTATAGTGTAACTGTAGAGTTCTAGATAATTTTTTGTCATTAAACAATATATCCATGGGTCCGGGTAGTCAGTACCCACCCGACCCGAGTACCCAAGTTACACGTCCCAACCCTAATCTGGACAAGGCATTAAATTAACATGTTGAGCATACATTGTTGTTTTGTTTCGATATATAATGAATTATAAGCTGTGGGGAGGGGACACCCTCTATGTTTGTTTATGTTGCCGAGCCCAGACAGGTAGACAATGACTTGTCATACCCCACTCCTAATAATATTACTGGTTTGTCTTATGCATACATGGTCTGAATCAGTAAGAATACCACAGTTAGGCATTTGTAACGTTGACAGAAGACAAGCCTAGAGTTATTCCCCCTCGATTTACATCATCTGGAAAATATATATATATATATGATTACCGTATTCGACGTTATAAGCGCCGACAGCGATATTTGCTAATATATTAACTAGTGAACAATCCCAATTAGCACCCATTCCGATTGATCAATGTGCACAAGACTTATATATTCGTGTATAATACCCACTCGTGTGTTATATGCACCCATAATTATGGGCAATTAAATTCTGGAAAAATATATCTGTCGTTTATAAACATTTCAGGATGTCAGCAAAAACCACGAAATTTACGATCTTTAAACTCTGTTTTTTTTCACCAAAATAACATTCTAATAAGAGCCCCCTGTTTCTGATTTTGAGAGCGCCCTGGGCGCTTATTACGTGAATACGGTAATGTGAGACACAGAATTGCAGTTGGTATGTTGCAATTGTAATGACAAAAATTTGGCAATTCGAGCGAGGAAAAATACGAAATGTACCTTACGTAATAGGGGTACGTTGACAATAATAGAAGGGTCTCGGCCAATGAGAATGTGACATTCATGTGCAAGGTAATATAAGTAATTACTTATGTTGCTATAAGCTTTTCAAGTGATTGAAGTGTTTGAAATACATGTGGTCACAGATCGATGTCGGTCATGTGACTTTGACCACGAGACAATCAGTATTTCAGGAAGTTGTGTATATTCGGAATAAAAAAATATTGAAAGTTAATTAAATGTTCATTTTGTCTGTAGAAACACCAATTCACGATCAGATTGACTTAATACTTCTTATCATCTGGGAGTGTAGGTAAGACTTTTATTGACTCGTGATTGTAGACCGCCTCCGTGGTGTAGTGGAAAGAGTGTCTGCCGGAGATCGGAAGGTCGGTGGTTCGATCCCCAACTGCGTCATACCAAAAGAGATTAATGGATGGTACTGGTACTTTCGGCATTAAGGGGATGAACCAAGGACTGGCTCGGAGTCAGTGGACTGTGTCAGAGTGGGGTATTGATGTTAAACTGTGGATGGTATTTCAGACGGCTGGCACTAAACAATCGGCACCAGTCCGGACAAGGACAGACGACACACGCACACACGCACGCACACCGTTGTGATTGTATACTTAGATATGTAGGAGTGTTGTGTCTGGACCTGAAGGGTTAACCACACACTGTGCAACTCTTGGTGGCTGATACCCGAGTACATGGTATAACTTAATTATACCCCACCCTAGGCTAATAAACAATCATATAACGGAACCGTGAACATCCAGCAGTGTTCTGCCAAGAAACTGAACTAGTGGGATCAAGGACCCCTCCAGCATAAAAACATGGGGTCATTTTAAAAACTTATGGGGACACACACTGTGAGTTCATATATAGGTTGACCGCCTCCGTGGTCTAATGGTAGAACGTCCGCCCGGAGAGCGGAAGGTCCGGGGTTCGATCCCCAGCCGCGTCATACCAAAAGACGTTAAAAGATGGTACTTGTTGTTACCCTGTCTGGCGCTCGGCATTAAGGGGCTAAAACAAGGACTGGTCGGCTCGGAGTCAGATACTGTGTCTGAGTGGGGTATTCATGTTAAACTGCGGCATGGTATCTCAGTGAGCTAGCACTATAAATCGGCATCAGTCCGGACTAGTACAAGCAGCCACACACAGACATAAACACGTGCATGCACGTCTCTATATAAGTGCAATAATCCTGGACGCGACGTTAAATCCTATTTCACCTCACCTCATATATAGGTTATTGATGCAGAATCACAATCAACCAGTGAGGCTAGCAATACGCACCATGTTTCGCAGGGCATCTTTCTCAGATGTAACACATATTGCAGCAACAACGTCCAAAGTCCTATACTAGTATTTAGCCTCAACAGTTTGTGATCACTGTCGTAAGCATGTCTCTTCATAGTACTGGTTCTAAAATCAAAATTTATCTTTGACATTGAATTAGCTTTCACATGATTGTACAAAACTGAAATACGTAGTATTTCTTTCTGAGTTATGCTGCAACCAAGAGTAGTCACGAAGCCAGGTTCGTTGCTAATTTCTGATTTTTCAGTTTTCCTACGTTTCATGTTTAATGCCAAGACTTACGAAGAATCAGAGAACCCCGGTTTCATGACGGTGACCTGGTATCGATGCTGTAATCTGTAGACGGTTCTCACGTGGACATTAAAAGCATTGGCCACCATTCGTGCAGTCGTCCTACAGCCTGGTTCTCTGATTTTTCGTCAGTCTTGGCATGGCGCTAGTATCGATACAAGAATGTTGGATCCACGTGTTGGGGTGCCGTTTATTAGAAAAAGGCACAAGAAAACGCAAGTAAATTTTGATTTTCACGGAAAGCATTCGGGACTTGGTACCATTGTCTTTTGTTAAGTTGCGCTTTGGCGGCCCATATGTGCATATTTGTGTCACGTTTTGGCCGTTAACATTAAATTTGGATACAGACAAATGTCACCTCCAAACAAAAATGTCTTGATATTTCAAGGGAAACTTTCATGAAGCGACGTTTTTTTTGCGGTTCAGTACAGAAGCTGCTTTCCGAGTGATGTAAAATATGTTTGAGACAGTCATTGACTCCAATAATTATATAAAAATACACTCATCTACATGAATGCTTCCGATGACCCACTGAGCGTTAATACGATGCGCCAATCAATAAATAATAGCGATGGTCCTCCGAGGTCGCTACCTCGGCAGAACCTTGCATCCGGGTTAGAATCGGTCTTCAGCAGCACATGCTTGTAAGAGGTGACTAACGGGATCGGGTGGTCAGACTCGCTGACTTGGTTGATGCACGTCATGGCATCCGAATTGCGTGTATCGATGCTCATGATGTCAATCACCGAATTGTCTCGTCCAGACTCGATTATTTACAGACCGCCGTCATAAAGCTGTAATATTGCTGAGTGCGGAGTAAACATCAAACAAACAAACATATCGCGGCGTTGACTGGACAGTGTTTACAGCCTCACTTTGTGTTCCCCGACCTCATGTACAGATGACGAAACAATGAAATGACATGTATTAATGTGAATGTTGTTGTTTCCAATTTTAAGAAACGAGTGAGTGAGTATGGTTTTACGCCGCTTTTAGCAATATTCCAGCAATTTCACGGCGGGGGACACCAGAAATGGGCTTCTAACATTGTACCCATTTAGAAAAGATCGGTGATGGAATTAATTGATAGGTACCAGTATTTTGGTTTTCCCCAAAGTACAGGGACACACACTGATGATGTTTAAGCTTGACGTGTATTGTTGGTGTGTGTTGACATGTACGGGGGCGGTGAGGTAGCCTAATGGTTAAAGCGTTCGCGCGTTACGCCAAAAGCCCGGGTTCTATTCCCCACATGGGTGCAATGTGTGAAGCCCATTTCTGCTGTCCCCCGCCGTGATATTGCTGGAACATCGCTAAGAAACGGCGTGAAACCAACTCACTCACTCACCTAATGCCTACACAACCCAGTATTTACAATGGGTTACAGAGCCGTCACTTGATTTAAGCAGGTAACATCTACAGGTAACGTAGCTCCGGGTAACATAGGTCGGCACCAAATTCAATGGGAACTGCTGTTAGATGTGCTCTCTTTATTTAAAATTTCATACCTCTATCGATTCTTTTACAAAATAATATTGTCTAGACTGAGACCATGTAGTTCATTATATTTATTCTTTTTCATCGACATCTGTGCCCCCGTGTTGACCATGGTGAGATAAAGCCCCTATAGCTCTCTACTACTTGTCTCCCGTCAAGACCCGGGTTAGATAAGGTCCACAGCTCTCTACTGCTTGTCTCCCGTCAAGACCCGGGTTAGATAAGGTCCACAGCCCTCTATTGCTTGTCTCCCGTCAAGACCCGGGTTAGATAAGGTCCACAGCTCTCTATTGCTTGTCTCCCGTCAAGACCCGGGTTAGATAAGGTCCACAGCTCTCTATTGCTTGTCTCCCGTCAAGACCCGGGTTAGATAAGGTCCACAACTCTCTACTGCTTGTC